AACGTTATTGCTACTACATCCCATACACCATTTAAAAGATCTAATCCTACTGTTGATAAATATGAAGTTTATTTTTAATATTATTCAAATAATACAACTACAACTTAAATAAAATAATTTAAAATGCAAGCTTACATTTATAACGTCCAGATAAACCACGAAAGAAGCAAAAACTATGGCGATTGTTTTCCATTTGTGACATGTCATAACATCCCCGTGCCTTTTTCTTTTATATTTTCATTTTTACGTCATCAGAAAATTTTATAAAAAGATTTCTTAAATAATATGTATGGTCGCCTATTTCCCGATATCTGTGGCTTTCCGCTCGGTAACATGACATAACAACGGAAAATACCTCCATTTTCGAAGCTTCGTATGAATAACATGGGAGGCGAATCGTTTGATGTCGGGTATCGTTCGAAAGCTCTGATCATCAACAACATCACTGAACCCTTGCGGAAAGTATTTTCACAGTTAGCAAGAAGCGATTTTATTGGATAAAATTGGTTTCTAATGGCAGCTTTTAGCTACAGTCTGCTATAAGAGTCGTGATTGGTCAAAATCAGACCACGTGACCTAAAGGCAGCCAATCATATTACGGCAATGGATACCGTCCTCGTGAGCGAAAAACTTTTAGATTTAGACGAAAGGTTTGGGTAATATAATGCTATTTTGAACATATTAAGCAAGAAATGCGCTACCTATCGTAAATTATGGAACTTATTGGACGATATATCGTGCTAGGTTATGACCTGTGACAAAAATGCCTCATGCATATATTTTTCGCATTAAACATCGTGTCCGGCGTGAAAATTGGTGGCGAGCGAGATGTCACTTGTCAATGACTTGACTTACATTACATGATCGCACAAAAAGATGGAAATAGTAATTTTATGTGTACGTTTGACAACTTTCATGAATGTTGTTGTTGATTTTATTCATTAGTTTATTCAATTTATTTAATGATTTCCTCGAAACATCGTTACTTTGCTCTTTGACAATGTTATTGTGGACCCGCTGCGAAGCATGTGTCCGAGAATCGTTGTTTTCAGTAACATTGCCAAAAATAGTTTATAATTTTAATTCTGCTGATAATATATGATAAATTGAAATTTAATAAGTGTTTTCAGACATTGTGAAATGTGATAGATTTAATATATGAATTCATAAGTCAGGTAGGTTCCTAAAATTATGTCTCATTTTGACGTGACTACTGCCTGGCCGCTTAATCGGCCTCCGGTGTCTGGGGACTCATAACGTTGTGGCCGCTAAAGCGGCCTGCGGTGTTGAATGGGTTAATAACCCAACTTCGCTGACTCTGACTCTGACCTTGACCTTACACATGAAGAAGAAAATGGCTACCAACAAGGTAGCTGATTTGGATTGGTCGGACCTATTATTCTGTCATGGCACCAATATTCCAACCTTCACATTTGATGTGTGATGTAGTTGGTCCTTACTATATTTCAATAATGCTCTTGAATACAAATGACAATTCGTGATTATAGTAAGTTTGCTTTACACTGCAGGGCTACCAGGATACCAGTATACCACAATATGCTACTGAAATGATACATATTGCAATACTTTTTCTGAGAACAGGTATACTGAATAAAACATTATATAAAGTTTTGTGACTATCTTAAGGATTTTAATGGTTTAATCTGCACAGATTTACATATACCAACTGATGCTTCCTGTTGTAATTGAGAAAACAGCATTCTTTACATACTATCAATTGCATGAAATGAAAACAGACTCACTAACAATCCAACCTAATTTTGAGCTTGCCCCTTATCAGAACTATAACATTAATTTTTTTAGGGCCTTAGTATGTAGAAAATTGCATACTGTCAAATTGTTTAGATCCCAATATATCACACCATGTATAGTAATACAGGTTGCAATACCTGAATTGCTATATATTTCAGTTTGGGATGTCACGATACATAAGTTTCATGAATCGATACGTATCACGATACCTATTTTTGCGGCATTATTGCATAAGGTTAGTTACATTTTGAACATTAATATTTCATATTTTATAACTGACAGTCTGTCCATGAAAAGATCAACATTTTTTATTCTCAGAGATTAAAAAGTTCTAATTTCCCATCTTTGTGCATGAAATATAATCATTTCTAACTCTCAAAACATCAAACAACATGATACATTTGCAAAATGTAAACAATACATAAACATATTGAAACCAATACTTTCAAAACTAAATATTAATACAGTTTTGAATGTATCGATAATTGTATCGTCTTAGAAAACGTCGATGCATCGATGCATCGACGTATCGATGCATCGACGTATCGATGTATCATGGCATCCCTAATTGCAGTAGGATTTAATTGCCAGTATACCGTACTACACAGCATAAAGCAATATTCTTCTTAAAAGTGGTGAGAGAACTGCAACATATTTTTCATGTAACCATGGTGATGTCAAATCATGTATCTGACGGGTCAGAGACAATGATAGCTTTCCAACATAATGGCCACTTAACAGGAAACCATTTCTTCATGAAATCCTTGGACACTTGACCATCATATACTCTGACAAATGAATAAGGGAACACACAAAAGTAAAAGCGTTGTGAAGAAACCTGTAAAAGAATAAAGGAACACTTGTACTTTCATATGTTCCCTATTCCTTTCCCTGAGTATGTGTTCATGATATAGACTTTATAAAGGTTATTACCTCTTATGTTTCATATTGGTCTTTGAAATGGTTTGAATTCATGGGTGGCCGAGTTGTCTGAGGCGCCACGAATCTGCGGAGTTGTGTCCCTTGGCCTTACCAGAAACCTATGTCTGTGGGTTCAAACTTTATGTTTTCACTAGGATTAAGCTCTAAGCCCCCACCTCTCCCCCTCAATGTCTGTTTACGGTAACCCGACCGACCCTATCCTAATATCATGACTGGAGCGCATTTCAACTCATCATTTTCATCCAAATTGAGTATGATATTTTCATGTTTTTCAGTGTACGTAGGGCCAAAATGGATTGCATTGAATTAGCATAATGGGTCCACACGGACCAAATCTGCAAATAAATAACACAAGAAGACAAAGTCATCGATATCCCCCGCAATGGCAAAATACTCTTCATGATTATGTCTACGAGGAATGATTATGTCAAATATTTAGGTGTGTATACAGAAAAGTGGAAGGAGAGTATTGAAAGGTTTTTAAAGTTCTGCTCCAGAAAGGAGCACTATCACAATTTCAGGCTAAGTCAAACTTGTTGCTATGGAAACGCCAAAAATATTTTATTCAGAATTCCAAAACTACCAAAAGGCACCAGTACACCACCAGATCTATCTATGTGTCAAGTTTGGTGAAGAAATAGTGAATGGTTTTAGAGTTCAGCTCCGGAAAAGAGCACTACCACAATTTCAGGCTAAGTCAAACTTGTTGCCATGGAAACGCCAAAAATATTTTATTCAGAATTCCAAAACTACTAAAAGGCACCAGTACACCACCAGATCTATCTATGTGCCAACTTTGGTGAAGAAATATTGAACGGTTCTAGAGTTCTGCTCCGGAAAAGAGCACTACCACTAATTTCAGTAAACGCTTCAAAAATATTTAATTCAGAATTCCAAAAACTACCAAAAGGCACCAGTACACCACCAGATCCATGTATGTGCCAAGTTTGGTGAAGAAATATTGAACGGTTTTAGAGTTCTGCTCCGGAAAAGGACAAATGTGCACGGACGGACGGAGTCGACGATTTTAATACGTGAGTCCATTTTAATACCCCCGCAAAAAACGTTGCGGGGGATAATAAATAATGATTTGATAAAGAAATCTTTCAATGTTTCATCACAAGGCATTGTCACTACATGATATGGTACTCTTGAAGACCTCAGGTGCCCACCTGGTGCCACTATGAAATAAAATAAAATAATAAAACCGACCCACCGACCCTATTTTTAAAAATTATGTAATAAGAACAGGGGTGGAAATAACTTTAAAATTGTTAGTGTACTCCGGTACAGTGGCATATGTAAAATCACTTGCCCTGATAATTTTTCCACTATACTGGCTGATTTTCCTATTGATTTTTTAAATAAACGACATAATTATCATTGGAAAGCCAACTGGACACCGGTACAGTGTGATATACAAATTTGCTTGCCCGACAGAAAAAAAACACTGGACTGGGGCGTCGGGCAATGGGTTATTTCCACCCCTAAGGAAGCGGACATATATTTCTTCTTGGCCTTAGATTTGTCACTACCATACAGTGCTCATCAGTGCTGCCACAGTGGTGAACATCTGAGTCCTGCATCACAGTAGGTTGACATGCCATGTTGTAACTGGGACACTAACACACCTTAATGATTTAAACTGACGTATTTGTTTCACTCTCAGACGGAAAGCAGAAACATTCTAAAACATATTTCATAAAGTCAGTTTGAGAATACTGACTGATGTTTATCAGATATTGAGCTGATGTTTATGTAATCTTTATGGACTCTCCCCACACAAAGACTCCCTGACAGCAACATCGCCAAAGTGATGCAAAAATTTCTTCACTGTATCCACATGATAGCACTGAACAAAATCCTGCCTCTGTCGAAGTAATAGTTGTCTATCAGTGGCCACTGTCATAACAATTTCTTTCTTGAATGATTGATCAGCTGTTTCCAAGCACAAGAACAGATTGTAAACAATATATTCATTTCTTGAAATATATTCCAATTATGCGATAATATCTGATATAGATCTATGTCACGATGAATCTACAGGTGTTTGTTAAGCAGGGACACCGCAGCTCAAGTCAGCTTATTTCAGATTGTATTACATAATTCAAATGTTTCTAGAACTGACTAATAGTTTTTTTCAACAGACGCTTACATCTTCTCTAACTGTAACTTAATCAGTTGTAAGGGAAGTATATTTAGTCAACTCTTAAAAACTTACTTCCCGGTTAAGAAATAAATTCTAAAATAAATATTTAAGCGCTAAAATGTATTGTAATACATACCCACTGCCTGTTGATGAAACTTTAATGACACCTGGGAAATGTCATGCCAACATTTCTTGTACACTTTTGACAGATCGGGCACCTGTCGTACCTGTAGTCCAAAGGCAGTTTCGCTCAAGTGGACGCAGCAATGTGATTTCGGAAAACTACGCAAGTGATTGTCTGATGAAGGTCAAAAGTAAAAACCCAGTCATTTCAACAACTTGTTAATTAATATGTGCCAATGTCACTCGTATCCAGTAAGCTTCTCAGTAATACCAGGGTTCCGGTTAAATTCGTATCAGTGGTAACAGTATTGATGTAGCCCTGCTACGTCACGACCAATGAACGCGCGCCTGAGAAACGGGAAGTTCAAAGTCGAGAATGGTCGCGTTTCATTGCCAAAGGGAGTTAACTCAAATACTCGTTGTATATCATATATATATAAACATTAATGAGTGAAACTCAAACAGGGCATGTGTTTAGCTGAATTTACATATCTATAGGCACTGAATAAACTTGGGATTGATCAGTTGGGAAATAAAAATAGATTGTATAAATTTCGACACATAATCCAACCAGAGACCATATAATAGATGTCTCTGATCCAACCAATCCAATTAATCATTTTAAAGCAATGGGATAAGAGACTTTAAACTTGTGCAGACCTAAGACGCACAGTTGTGTGTACACATAGTTTCCAAGTACATGTTTATACGCTATTACGCATATAAAACTTATTGTTAACCAGTCAACATGTACACTGGTTCTTATACACCAGCACGTGTCTGAGTCTTGCATTTTACGTACGCTTCGGCTGTGTCGGAGTATGTAATTATGCGAGTGTATTTTAATTTGTATTTGTATTAAGAGAAGAGGATAACTCTGCTGTGAACAAGCTAACCAAAATATATTTGGGACTATTATTCTTGTATGCAATAATTCAGAATTGCCTGTGATGTATTTGCTTTCTGGTCTTTGTTTATAGTGTTGATCATACCGGCCGGTCATTAGTCACAGCATCTTAGTTTTGTCAGTATATAGTCATTAGTTAGACTATTTATTAGTCTTGTCAGTAGACAGTGATTAATTAAGTTATTTGTTCGTTCTCCCATTAGATCATCAGTAGACATATTGTCTGTGTCAGTAGGTAGTTAGCAGTTAGGGCATAAACTAAACAGTCCCTGAGTTGGGGGCACAGGCGGATCAGACACATAACGTGTCAGAACTCTACTGTACTGACAGCGTCCTCAGGCACTCTATCTCCAGTGGTCGTGGGTTTTAATCCCAGTTGTTCCACTGATGTTTCTATATTTGTCAGCAATGTAACTATGCTGGTGGTTTTCACTGAGTGGTAAACGTCTGACCCTGCATCACTAAGGGTTTCCCTCACACATCAAGCTGACATGCCGTGATATAACTGAAATATTGTTCACAGCGGCAATATACCCAGCTCACCCAGTCCTGTAGTTAGTCATTACTGGTTAAATTAGCTTAGTTAGTTAATTAGTTAGTTTGAGATTAGCTATTTGTGATATTGTAAGTATTCTATTGGTACATTGCATTTAGTTGATGTTCTACATTCTACATCTGTTTGTCGGGATAATACATTTGCTTTTGTGCGAAAGATGTATGCCTGATTAGCACCTACTTGTAGTACTTGCACCTAATGTAGTTCCACAATAAAGTACTTAAATCAGATTATATTCAATCCATAAATAGGTAAGTATTATTTGTGTTTGCTGGTCATACGGTGTCAGTTGGACATACGGTGTGTGTGGTTTTTTTGGCACTTCAGGGTTTAGTTCTTGGTTTCTCATCTTGGATATCTTGTCTTTTTCTTCCTCTTGTGTTTATCTGCAGCGGTCGCCAAGCTTACACCTGCACATCATGACTAACCATTGCATCAGTATAGGATACTCAGTACCATGTTGAAGGTTAGGTTTTCATTCTGGGTAGGGCATCACTTTGAACAATTTTCTGCGCTGTGGTGATCCACTGCATTCATATTTCGTCTATGCTAACTGTGCCATACTTTACAGTTAGTGTTGTTTCCCCTCCCCAACATTTCTCACATTGCTCGCTGTTAGTACCATTAACAGGTATGTCGGAACATATGTCAGAAGAGGAAGTTGCGCAACTTGTTGCAACATTCAAGCAGCTTAAAGTAAAACCCAAGGCTGATTCCCCAGAAAGTTCGTTAAAATGGATGGCTGATTATTCAGCGGGCTCTGTGAAAACAGAAAGTGTTTCACATGTCCCTGAACCTCAGTATCGTGGTCCCCCATCAGCAGCTCAGGTGGTTACTGTATCTCACCCTCCAAGTTTACCTTGCTCTTCTGGAGATGAAACTAAAAGTAACGTGTCTTATGATCTGTGGAGATATGAAGTGGATTGTATGTTGAAGGACAAAGCACATACAAGGGCAACAATCGAACATGCGATTAGGAAATCTTTGAGAGGGGAAGCAGTTAGGGTTGCCATGCGACTAGGTTCCACTGCTTCTCTTTCTGCCCTCTTGGATAAACTGAAGTGTGTTTTTGACACAAAAGTGATACTCCTGAAAACGTACTGGCAGCCTTCTACACAGCACGACAGCGGGAAGATGAAATTGTTAACACTTGTTGTTGTCGTCTAGAAGATTTATTAAGTAAAGCAGTAGAGGCTGGTGAGGTTAGCTCTGCAGACACCAACAAGCTCCTTCATTCCACTTAAGCCATCAATCAAAGATGTCAGCGGACACAAGTTCGATCTGTGCTCGGATTTTGACGTTTTGCGACGATAACTTCGACAGATTGAGCGCGAGCACACTCAACGTAGAGGGGAAGGTAGAACTAAAGGGAAACTGTCTGCCACAAGTATGTCTGCTGTTTCTGAAACACCCACTCAAACAGAGATGAAGGAACTTCGAGGAATTATCAAGAGCCTTACTTCTGAGGTCGCATCTCTAAAGAAACAACAGCAGCAGCCTCCTCTGTATCACTATCAACAGCCTACCGGAGAACAAGATAACGTTCAATCCAGGACTTATAATCAAACTGACAAGGGCAACACTGGATATTATTCTCAACCTTCTTTCCAGAAACATCAGTATGATCATCCATCATACAGAGGAAGATCTAGAGGACGACCTTTTGAGAGGGATGTACAGTGTTTTCGTTGTGGACAGTTTGGGCATATAGCCTCAGGATGTAGAGTCAGGATGGATCACAGTCGCCAGTATTTAAACGGGAGACGACCTAGGCGAAGGGTGGTCCATAGGTCTCAACAGACGACAGATGGGTACTCTGAGATAGGAAATGGCAATGAAGTTGAAGTCTGTATTCAAGGAATCAAGATGGACAGCCCCTGCCATACTCAGGTTACATTCAGCTGGACTTAGAGGTTAATGGGATTGATGCTGAACGCCAGCCATGTCTTCTGCTTGTTGTTCCTACAAGCAACTATAATCACAAGGTACCGGTTTTACTTGGGACGAATACTTAATCGGTTTACTTAGGAACCTGTAGACAACAACATGGGGAGAAGTTTCTGCAAGATGCCAACCTTCATACACCTTGGTATTTAGCTTGTAGGTGTATGTTACTGCAGGAACGGGATCTTCTTCGACGTGCATTAAGCTCGGACTAGTCAAGTGTGCAGGAGTGAAGAAGGTTGTCATCCCAACCAATTCAGAAGTCACTATCACAGGCTACATTGACAAGGCACTTCCTTATCCTTCAAAGACAAGATCAAGTTCTTTGGACATATTGTATCAGGACAAGGCATTGAACCAGATCCGGCTAAAGTTGAAAAGATAAAGACATGGCCCCAACCAAAGAATCCAGCAGAGGTTAGACAGTTTGCTGAATTTGCAGGGTATTACCGGAGATTTGTGAAGAACTTTGCTGCAATCACCAAGCCCCTGTCAGACAAAGAGAACACGGAAGAAAGTTGTCAACAGCCGTGTGTATGGGGATCTGAGCAAGAGAAGGCATTTCATCACTTAAAACAGCTTCTGGTTTCGCCTCCTACTCTAGCCTACCATTTGAGCTCCATACAGATGCTAGTACACATGGACTGGGCGCTGTTCTCTATCAAGAGCAGGATGGAAAGAAGCGAGGTATTGCGTATGCCAGCAGAGGACTTAACAAAGCTGAGAAGAAATATTCTGCACATCGTCTTGAGTTCCTGGCTTTGACTATATATATATATATACTGATATGTATTACTCCAGTGCTACGTATATACTGCCACTGATGACCACCTCTCCTAGTACACACATGCTGCACCTTTTGAATAAAAAAGTACAAGCAGTGCATCAACTAACAAAATCCTGTGGCACAAAGATTCCTAAAACCAAACATGTGATAGCAAAGTGTTTTATTACACCCTCGATCCTTCAGTCTTGGCACATGGCTTGTATGCATTTATTTTCCGCTTTCGCCTTCATCTGCGTAGGTGTAAATCCAACTAGGGTCCATGCAGGTAGCAAATGTACTGTAAGTCCCCAAATATATATCTGTGATAGTCTAGCTGTTTTTACTGTCCTTTGTCGACAGATATTTTAAATTGCTTACCTTGTTTTCATCGCTATATGGCTGTAATATTGCCGATGTAATGTAAAATATAACTCACTCACTCACTAACTCACTCACTCATCTTCATATTATCTATTCAACACATTATCGTATAGGGTTCCTACCTGGGTGGGTAATTATGTTGCTAAAATAATTAATCAAACTCACAGCATGAATGAAAGCAGTTACATTTCACATTTGTGTGAAGCAGTATAAAACATTCGTGTGGCATACATGTAAAAAAGCCTATCGCATCCTGTCGCACGCATTGGCCTTGAAGTAATTATGCACTTAATATGCAAATTTTGTGATCTGAACAGTTTGCTTGGAATATAATTCTATCAACGAAAGGAAAATATTCAGCCTTGCTTTGCATTTTTGAGCAAAATTGCATGTAAAATGTATCTCATCACGCAAAAAATAAAAGTAAGGGAGATATTTGCAAAAGTACAATTTTTTTCCTTCATCATTTCCTTGAAATCCAGCATTTTGAAATCCTGTGGTAACATTATTAATCAATATATTGTAAAATGTGTTCATTGTATCGATAGAAAATGATAAATAAAACAATTTCTCAAAGATTTGAATTTTGCGCTCATTGACATTTGACCCCGATTTGTGACCTAATTAGGCATTTGTGAGCTTATCAAACAACAGATTCGTATTCAATACGAAAAGCTACCCCAGAATATGTGGTTTGCTTACTTTTACTAAAAAATGCGTTGACGTTGACGAATGGATTACAAATTGCAGGAGATGCATCTGTCGGAAGACACCAACCAGCCAGAGAGCTC